ATATGTTTGTATAAGGTCATAAATGCCCCTTTTTTGGTATTCCTGAAAGCTACCCTTAAATTTGCAATTCTTGCATCTGTTGTTGAACTTATTTGGTTGATGTGTGTCTCAGGCAAAATGCTCACCCCAATGTCCTCTTTCAGAGAGGTTTACAGATTTTATCCCTTGAGCCTGTACACTGTTTCTGGACATCTTTGTACTTCTTCAATTTTCATTGCTTTGCATTTGCTAGGGTTTATTTCCAGCAGTCACTTATCAGACCAGTCCTGCAGTGTTTGTACATGCACATGTGTGTGTGTGTGTGTGTGTGTGTGTGTGTGTGTGTGTGTGTGTGTGGGTGGGTGGGTGTGGGTGTTGGGGGGCTTGTGTGTGTGTGTAGGGGGGCATGCCTGATTATCTCTACTTTCTCTTTCTCCCTACATTCTGTACTCTTGCATTTTGGTGCAAGCCAATAGCAGCTGCTTTACATGCATGACTGACAAACCAACATGTGTAAATCTTTCACAAATATCTCTCATGCTTTTTCAAGTGTCTCAATACTTGGAGCCAGCTTAAATATATGGGAAAGATTTTACAATTCCACCACTACCTCAAATAAATTTGCTAGGAGGGGAAACTGGTTCAAAGATATACTATACCAAAACAAACTTTTTATTGGCTATCATGTGATTGTTCTTGGTGTTTATTCTCCATATCTAGTTCCAAAACATGTTTTTACTTGATTGTTTTAGGAAACTTTTGGATTACACATAATGAAAAATACTATGACCCCTAATCATTAAACAGCCTAATATCTCAGTACAATGGTACCTCGGGATACGAGCAGCTCAGAATGCAAACAATTATGTAAGTGCTTTTGTAAGTGTACTTTTGGGAGTCTGAAATGGATTAATCTAATTTACATTATTCCTTATGGGAACAAATTTGTTTGATATCAGCACTCGAACAGCCTTCTGGAATGAAATAAGTTTGTATCCCGAGGTATCACTGTATATATTCTGTGCATGTTTTTATTGACAGGTAGGGACATCAATAAGTAAAAGGCTAATTATATAAAGTTCCTTGATGTATCAGTAACATATGTCAGAGTGAAGTCATCAACAGTGCATGTATTGCATATTGCTTGTGGTGCCATCATTTGCAAGGCATCTTGTAACACTAGATAATGTATTGAGAGCACAAAGTGGTTGTACTGTGCTTCTTTAAGTGATGCATGTTTTAACTTATATTCTAGAAATGGCCTATAATGCATAGAGAGGACCATAATTATTATTTTAATCTTCATAGAGTTGCTTGACTGGGTACATGGGCTTTGTGATTGGTAACGCAGGCTTGCTAATGTCATTAGTATTTGCTGATACTGTATTGTAAGCTGTATTTTAACTACATATATAACTGACACTGCACTTTGCAAAGTAATGATTGTAGATTAACCTTTCATATTTAATTTAGTAATATGAATTTAGAATATATGTGAATATACATACTGTATGTGAAATATATGAAATAAAGTTAATTTTGATCTATAACATCAGTTTAAAAATTATGTAAAATGACTACATATTGTACTTTTCTAATATTTCCTTAATATGTCTATACTGTATTTATCTTACCCTTTGTGTGTTCCAGATGGTCTTCTATACATATATCACCATGTACTTGATTTTACCATTTATTAAAAATTTGTTAAAGGGCTATATGGGGTAAATTATACATCACTTGACTCATTTTCCTGATATTTTCATAATGATATTGAGGGATGAAATATGTCCAAGCATACCAATATTCATATTCCATGTTAAAGTTTTGAAAACACTGTACCATACTGTATATCAGGTTTCATTATATTCTATACCTTTTCAAAATATGACACAGTATCTGCATCATCTCTCTGTGTTGAAGCATAAAACATTCACTATCCTACAACTATAAATTGAATATGCCAAGTTGTGATCATTCATTGGGAAAATTGTACATTATCTGTTAATTTACCACAAAATTTAGGAAGACAGGAAGGGGCATCTGAACTGTAGTGTCAGCATGACTGATAAAACAGTGATAGTGTGAATAATGGTGAAAGTATTTCTTCTTTTGGGTCACCTTATCTCAGTGGGAGATGGCCAGTGTGGTAAAAAAATAAAAAAAAAGGGGTTTCAGAAATTATCATTTAAAGATAGCATGCATCTTCAATGTATGTTACCTATTGTTCAATACAGTACTGAATAGTATTCAAAAAATTTGTAGATCTTCATATAAATAGCATTTATACACACAGAAAAATACTCTACTCTTCATGTAATTTAATTTAGCTTGTCAGAAAAATGTTTTAAAATTTTCATGCAATAGTGCAAAATTACTGTAGTTGTGTATATAAATGCATATATAGTTCCAAATTTCCTCTCACAACTTGATAATGGACCAAGTCAGATTGAAACATCATGTAAAATTCCTTGACAGACTTTAAGTTAGTTTTAAAAAATGCCCAAGATACCAAATAATATTCTTTTATCATAATATTCAGTGCCAGATTCATCTAACACAAAGAAACAATGTTGGTAAAAAGGGTGATGAGTGAACTCCAGACCTTGCCACCATGCATGGGGACAGGGAGGGAGTCAGGAAGGGATAAAAATTGAAGTATTGGAAAATTAATTTGCAAAGAATGTCTAGCAAGGCCACTCTGCTAGAGAATGTTGCCAGCATATTGGTAATCAAACTTTATTTTTTATACACACCCCACTTACCTCAGTTGTATTGTTTTCATTAACTCGCTAAAATATACACATTAATCAAAAGTAGTCATTCTTATTTTTTAGAATTTGTCATTGTTAGGAATGGAACTTGTGTCTGGCCTTAATAAGGAAGATATCCAAATATCTAATGTTTAAAGGTATTGGTAGATATCTCTCTTGTCAGTTATAATTACTTTTCTGTTAGTGGTTTTGTATATGACAGCATTTCCAAGCTTTGTTGGGTATACTCTTCAAAATGATCTACAGCATATACAGTAAATTGGGATTTATTTTGTAATTCATATGACATTTCTTCTTAACCCAAATTGCTTTTCTTTTTGTTAGAAGTACATGCATATTCTCTTATACATATGCTGAATGAGTTGAGCATCCATCTTTCATAAGTTAGGTATCATTTTCCAGTTTAGTGAGGTATCCTTGTGTATTCATAGTCAGGTAAGTAATTTTCATTCTATAAACTTGTTTTCAACTAGCAAGGTGTCATTTATAAACCCCATTCATCATTCTCATCAGCAATTTATATACTCCATTCATTCTCATCAGCAGTTTTTAAATCTCGGTTATCATTCTCATCATCACTTTATAAACCCTACCTATCATTCTCATTGTCACTTTATATAAATCTATCATTATTCGGAACATAAAAAATACACATACATGTATGCAAAGACATTACAGATAGTCATAGAATGAATTTAATTATAATGAATACTGTACAACAAGCATACATTATGACAGTAGACTGAAAGTTTAGTAGTGCATGACAATAAAATAAAAATTAGTTAAATTCTAACCAAATAAATTACATTCTCAGGTACTGTACAATTTTGTTTAAATATCAGGTGACAATTACTGCAATAACTTAAAAGCTAGTTGTAAAAAGTATTTTAAAGTAACAAAGTAAAGTATAGTGAAGCAGTAGTGCTCATTTAGAGAAACTAATACAAAAAAGTAGAGGGTATTTACACAGAGATGGGGAGAATGATTTGACTGCAGTGTTGAGGCACAGGGTGCCTGCTTAAGCTAGTTTTGAATTGTGTAAGAATATTGCAGTTTTTCAGTTTGTCCACATTTTCGGTCCATTAATTTGTAAAGAATTTCAGTAGATGTTCAGTTAAACATGAAGATATCAAAGAGGTATTTGTTTCTGGTGTGATGTTTGCACATTTTGTTAAAATTTTCAAATTTTATTATACCGTATTTTAGTATTTTTTGGTTAGACAAATATTACTGTATTGTATTGTTATTCTCATGTTCCTTAGTTGAATACTACTGTACCATATTATTTTACTATTCTTTGTCTGGTGAGTATTACTGTATATTCTACTAGCCTTTGTCTAGTTGTCTATTACTGTACCATACTGTATTATTGGTCTGCTCTGTACTCTTTAATTTAAAATATTAGTTTCTTACAATTTTTTTTTTATATAGCATCCCAATCTTTCATTCTTAAATACAACTTCAAGTATCCTGTTATTTCTTGCACTTATTGTAGGGATATTCTTGTCTCTTATTCTGTTAAAGTATAACTCCTACTTTGTTGAGTTATCTATATTTTAGCTAACACTGCTCCAGATTTGTTATGCTACATAATTCAGTGATAATATATACAGTACTGTATTCCCCATGACTGGGTAATATAAAGTAAAGGTGATTCCTCAGTTTAAGATCCATGGGAAAGCTCATACCTTTCTGGCATTATATAAAACTAACTGTCCCTTGGCCACTGTGGGATCTAAGAAAGGCATCCTCGTATTCCATAAGCCCAGGCCCCTCTACATCAGTGCATGCAAAAAGAATAGTACATGTACATATTTAAATTAATATACAGTACACTGATTCATCTTCATAAGCATTTGGTTCTAATTACTGTTATATTGCTGTCTGAAGTAATTTATTGAAAATTAGTGCTATAAGTTAGGCATATTTTGTCTTTCCTTCAGTGAGATGCAAGTAGACTGAAAATATTTGGTCATTTTACAACTAAAGGCATTTGTTTCATGCTTTAATGTGCATGTATTAAGAAACACTAATAGACTATTCATGTACAGTACTGTATTATACACTGTGACTCATAATGCTCATACTGTACCTGTTTTCTCCATCTGCATTTTCTCAATTCTATAGTAAATTACTACGTACATATATGTACTTGTTTTTTCTCTTAAATTTTTATCTCCTATTGGTTTCCAAATTGCAGTAAATAGTTCTTGTAACAAATAATTGTTTTTCTCCTGTGGTTTGCAGGCACTTTTAGAAACTCATGATACTATAGCTGACCGTCGACATATAGGAGACGCAGGCACTTCAAGTAACGGTTATAGCAGTGTGAACGGTTGCCACGAGAACGCTACATTCATGCCAGAGGAAAATGGGTACCCGGTGGACGCCATCAGGATGGTGGGCCTCCGTAAAAGACCTGACGAACCCCTTGGGCTAACGGTGCGGGAAGATGAGAATAGCTATTTAGTCATAGCAAGAATAATGGCAGGAGGCACCATTGACAGACAAGGCCTTTTGCATGTTGGTGATGCAATCTGTGAAGTCAATGGAGTTAAGGTGAGATTTTAGTCATAAGAAAATTTTTCTGTATATCTCTTTCACTATAGAAATAATTTTGAAAAAGATGTTTGGTTAAAATAGTTTTGATTAATTTTGCTTCCTATAAAATATTGTAAATAGCAAAATCTAACAAAAAATTAAATTTATCATCATGAAAATATTAGTAATTATTAATAAGAATCTAAATTTGTTAGGATGTCTTGAATTAAATATGAATTGTTTAAGTAATGGAAAAATACTAAGAAAATATTTAGATTTTTGCCATGTCTTTATAATGCAAATTGTTCTTCCAGGTTACAAGTCTACAGGCATTACATAAGGAAGTGGAGAAGTGTCGAGATTCTGTAACATTGAAAGTGATACCAGCCCTACATGATCTACCATCCAGTAACCAGGTAACCAGCAGCCTCCACCCAGATTCTACAAAGACTGTTGTAAGTGTGGTTATATTTCTTTAGTTCAGGCCAGTATCTTCCTGCTTGAAACCAACTAACAACTGGAGCCTCTAAACGGGTGGTGACGGTGGGGAGTGTTATGCTGAAGGATGCATATGTATTGATTGCTATTATGAAAGATTACCTAACCCAATACAGTATGTATACTGCACTTTGATTATTATTATTTGTGTGCTGCATGTCATACAATAGTAAATCTTTTCCTTGATAATTAGCTTATAATATGGATGCCTTTTAGAGAATGCCAGAGTATAGCTTCATTCTTTGACACTAAGACTTGATACTTTTGGGGAAGAATTAGTTTTGGTCACAATAAAATTCTTTCATTACCTTGGGAAATTCTACTGTACTTCATGTTCTTTTTCTGGCTGCTAGCCACATTCAATCCATCAGCTTCTACAAGAGTCAATTATACTATTGCAACAGGTGGATTCTTTTCTTGATAAATATTTTTGTTCTTCAAAACTCTCTTTTAACAATTGAATTCAGCTGAAATTAGGGGATATTTTGTATCAAGGCTACCTTTTCAAAGGAGTTATCCTAAAGTTAATGAGGCTTAGAGGATAGACGTAAAGGCTGTGGGTTATTTTTGTGCATGTTTCAAACTTTTTTAAATAATACAGTATCATTATTACTGCACTTTATTTAATACCCTATAAATCAGCTGGATGAATAATCATCTGGCTGAAATGAATACATACACTATTGCAAATTTATGTCACAGTTGTGGTAGGTTGCTTAGTGTGTGAAGGTGTGCCAGCCCCACTGGCACCACACCAAGTAACCTTTCTACACTGTTTGTAAGAATGCTATAATAATAAGATTCATGCATTTAACTTATTATTTTTAATATTCTCTTAGCATTGCATGGCTACTTTCAGTCACATGCAAATATTTTTCACTTCTTGAAATTGGAGCACTATAAATATATAACAAATACAGTAAACCCTTCCATAATGTGGTGGATAAGTTCTGACAATTGTCATTGTGTGATTGAAAGCTTTATATAAAGTGAAGAACATATGGGCAAAATAGTGTTGTGTTTCAGGCACCTTGAAAAATGTCGAACAAGTTAAAAAATAAAAGCGAACAGTTATAAATTTTATCTTACCCTAAAATTCTGTTGATATTTTGTTGACTTGGTAGTGTGTGGTGAGGGTTGATGTGGCCCTACTGGTTGAGGTGGATGTTTTTGGTTGTGTTGATGTGGATACAGAGTTATTAGTAGTTGATGAGTGTATTGAGGTGTTGAAATTTTGAGTAATACATCTCTGCTCTGGTTTACCTTGTAGTATTTTATTCAGGAGACAATAATGTATCATTGTTTGCTTTAAGTTTGACAGTGGTACCCTGAGTTTTGTACAGCTCCCAACTCGAAGAATTATGTAAGTGTATTATTATAAGTGTTTTTGTAAGTGCATTTTTGGGAGTCTGAAACGGACTAGTCTAATTTACATCATTCCTTATGGGAACAAATTCGCTCGGTAACGGCACTCAAACAGCCTTCTGGAACAAATTATGGTCGAAACTCAGGGTACCACTGTACTTCATAGCAGTGCTTCAAGATGTGTCAGTTTAAGAGTCTGCATGTAAGTATTGAGTGTTAATTGGTTATCTTCATGTTCATCATCATCATCATCATCCAGCTGGGAATGAAGATTCTCCAGCATTTCTCCTTCAGATGCATCTTTGTCCTCACCTTCTGACAGTTCATTTACGTCATCTTTACTGAAGTCCTCGTGTCTTGCTGTCCTTGCCAGAGTCAGAATTTCCTGGACTTGACTCCTCACTGAGGCAAAACCAGATAAATTATGCACCACAGAAGCATAATTTACCCCAGCCTGCATTTATGGTTAGTGAGGGCACTTCATCCCATAACACCTTGATGTGTGTAAGGGCATTTGCAAATGTTAAATTTATGCCAAATCTGGCATGTCAGTCTTAGAGCTGTGGTCCACTACTGTGATGAGTTTTTCTATTAACCTATGTATGTAGTGGCACTTAAATATCTTAATATCTCATTGATCCTGTGGCCATATCAAAGATATTGTGTTGGATGGTAAAACTGCAATCTTTACATTTAGGTGCACAGACTGCAAGACTGGAGGATTACTACAGGAGTTGTCAAGCATGAGCAGAACTTTGAACCCAAGGTTCTTCCAGGTCCAGTATGACTTGACTGAAGGAATACAATGATGCTTGAACTATTAAACAAACAGGTCGTTAGTCATCCATGCTGAATTGTTAGACTGCTAAATAAGTAATTTTAATTCACAGGGTTTAACCGAATGATAAATCAACTTAGGCTTGCACTGGAAATTGCCAGCCACATTTGCACACAGAAGCAAGCTAACATAGTCCTTAGCTGCCTTGAATCCAGGGGCACTTTATTCTTACTTGCTAATGTACATTTTTAATAGCATATGCTTCCAGCATAGCCCTGCCTTGTCAGCATTAAATACTTGGTGAGGACTGATAGTCCTCAGGAATAATTTGTAAAGATTCTTCATTCTCACGTACGGGCGGGGATTGAACTCTTGGCTAGTGAGTCATAAAACTCCACTAGTTGCGAGTTCAATCCCTGCCTGTACTGTGGTTTGTTTGCAGTCGTGTCATTACAATTTCTAGAGTCATTCTCACACAGTTTTATAGTAGGATAGGGTTTTATAGATTATTATTAATTATTTATTTATTTTTATTTCTCATTCACAATACAGAGGTACAAAAAAAATCAGATAAGAGCATTATGCCTAGCCACTTATACTATGCATAGCAAATTTCGGGTGGGTTAAAAATTAGACTTAAGATTAACTAAGCACATATGATATTATTAATTATTCAAAATTATAAGCTAAGCCACAAGGACTACAGCGCTGCTACTAACCAATGATATATACAGTGATAAAACTTAATGTAAAAGATTAACTCAAAGCAAGTAGTATTACAAAGACAAGTATTTATCAGGCACTAAGCAGGTACATACCATTTTACTCCTCATGTCACAACACTAAATTTATCTGTCTTATTTAGCCATTGCAGAAATTTTTGGCATTCTTTTCTACTACTCGCAGATGTGAATGTCTTGATAAAAAAAAAATTGGCTAGCACAGTTACACATGCACCATCCCTGAGAATATCAGCTTTTCACATTTTTATGACTACCATCAGAGATTCATGCTTATTCTCATTCTTGGCACCTCCAGCATTACTAGTACATTAAACCCTCGATAAATGGGCTTTAACCCTTTCAGGGTCCAGAGGCCAAATTTCAAAGTGTGCACCAGGGTCCAAGAATTAAAAAAAAAAAAAAAAATTTCTTATAAAATAGTAGAGAATCTTTTTCTAAATAAAACAAAAAGTACGAAAGTTGACGGAAAATTGACGAAATTATGCTCTCACTAATTTTGATGTGTCAGTGATATTTACTAATCGGCCATTTTGCCGACTTTGACTCCCATTTTAGGCCAATTACATTATTCCAGTCAACCAAATTCTTAGCTATTTCACTAGTATTACTTCTATTTTATCGATTGAGCACAAGAAATCGCCAAGTCAACTGTTTCAACTACAAAATAAAGTGATAGGAAATTGGTAATTTGGTCAATTTAATGCAAAATTCAAAATATTCCAATTTCAAAATAGGGTCCAGAATAAACAAGGCAGGCATTCCTGTCACTAAACTAACATTACCTCTGTTCATTAGTTATGTTTTCAGGCTTTACAAATGAATTCCATTTTGATTTTTAATATAAATAACATAATGAATTTTTATTCAAACCCAAAAATAGAAGATTTACTGTCATGCAATATTGTAATAATTGTATAAATAATATAAGCACATTTGTAAATGTATATTAGACCCACCAGCTGGCGTGTATTAAATATGCAGGTCATTTGTTTACTCTTGAACATTGACAAAAATCTAACATTTTCGCTACTTTGAGCTCAGTTTCAAGCCATTTTCTGTACTAAAACCAATCAAAATCATCTCTATTTCTGTAATATATCTTCCATTCTATCAAAAGAGACCAAGAAATTGCAAATACAACTATAAAAAAACATGAAAAGACACTGGAAAGTCGCTGTTTTAATCGAAAATTACGGTCTCAGGTTTTTTTGGTCTCATATGCACTGTGTACTGCAGGATTTGTTTTATGTGGTGCACGCATACTGCATAGATGTATTCTATCATATCTAGGCCCAAATTTACCGCTCACAACATATCAGAGTGAGTTGAGCTCATGGCACAGATCTACGGTTTGGACCCTCAACGTAAAGCCGTAGATCTACGGCACGGACCCTGAAAGGGTTAAAATACGGTAAGTTATACTTTTAACTCCTACATTTTCAGGGTTTATGCAATACGTATACAGTATGTACTTTGTAAAAAAAAAAACCTCATATATATATATATATAGCTTTTATCCATTACTCCTGAATTTCTTGTTTCTGACTTTTTTTTTTTTAAACTCCCATATACTGTACTATAAATTTCAGTTCCATTCATTTAGACATAGCTGTTGTACCAAGAGTTATACATAGAAAAGTCATTGTACTTAACTTCATATATCAGTGTTTCTGAAATAAACTTTATATTATATTGCATTATATCGCATTTTAATTTCATAAATTAGATCCATTTGCCTTTTTTTACAACTAGACAATTATTTTTTTTTATGAATTATGTTGTATCCTGTATGTTTTTGTAACTTCCTGCTAATATGGTACTATGTATAGACTTAAGAATAATAAATCAAACTATGTAGTTCTTAAAACTAGACTTAAGTTTTGCTCAGAATGTTGTATATCCTATGGGCTCTCTGATTAAAAATATTCTAAATCTAAATCTTGGGGGCTAAGAGGTAAAGAAAAAAAAGAGTGATGAAAAAGATTCAAAATTGCATTATCAAAACAGGATGAGTAGCTCACATGACACATAGAATGCAACTGTAGGCATTGTGGGTGGGTGCAAAGAGGAGGGGTGCTGTTTACCCCTCTCAAAACAATAACACTGAATCCACGTATCTGTAGGCCTGACTTGGGGATTATGTAAGTGTGTTGTAGCATTATGAAAGAAATAATACAATGACAATATACCAAAAAAAAAACATTATGTAGGGTCATGTTATGAGAGGGTTTATTGTACTTTTTTTGATAAATGAATTGCAATTATGCTATAATTTTCTGAACTTTTCATCATAATTTGGTTGCATGGGGGTTAAGGCCATTATTACTGGTATCTTAACTAGTAGTTATATTATACAGCATCTTTATTTTGCTTAATTTTTTCTTTCGTGTTCTCTTGTGGAAAAATAATAATTGTATAATTGTTCTTAAATTTTGCTTTATACTGGGCATTTATATTTTTAGAACATAGTTTGTAAATAGTGATGAATAATGGCCTTTACAGTGTTACATGCGAGCACTCTACTCCTATGATCCAGCTGAAGACACTCTCCTTCCAACCTGCCCATCACAGTCTCCACAAGACATCGGCCTCAAATTTGAAAAGGGTGATGTATTACAGGTAATTGTAACCGTAATTGAAATTGAAATTATATCCTTTTATCCTTCACAGCAAAGTCAAATTTGTTTTCATTTTATATTCAGTCAAAGTGTGTTTTATTTAAATGAAGCTGGTCTTAAAGCACAAGAAAGGTGTAAAAATGCCAGAATTTAATTGCAACTGAGGTTGTTTGCTCCAGTGATAGAAATGGGTTTTAAGAAGTAGGTACACACTTTGGAAATTGAGTAAGAATTCTTAAAGGAGTGTAACAATTTGGTGAATATACCAAAACCCCCTTTATATGTAGAGCATTTCTGGCAAGTTTAAGACTAACTTAAGATTAATAAGGCAATAACAGTGCTATAATTTTAAATATGGTCATTAGGTGAGTTACAGTGAATAGAAGAAAATTGAATATTCAACTAGTTCATGCTATATAGCTTTAGTAAGTTCTGTAGAGAATAATTACAGTTTTGATGTAGTATATAAAAAGTACAGTATTACAATTAGCACAATTTAAGACAATGAAGTTGAAAGAATTTTAAGTTTGAAGTAATGATTAAATAGTTGAGCAATCACCAAGCACAATTTACAATATGAAGTACAGTGGAACCTCTGCTTACGAGTGCCCCAACATGCGAGTTTTTCAAGATAAGAGCAGTCGCTCGGTTGGTTTTTTGCTTCCAAATGCGAGCGAAATTTCAAGATGAGAGCGGGCCTTTTTCTCCACGCTTGTCACACTTTCATCTGCAGGGCGTTTCAATAAAAAAATGTCCTAGGATATTATTTATTATTAGTATTATTAATTTAGTACATACATATTCTTATAATAATACTCTTGCTTACCATTTGGAATTTTTATTCACACAAAAAATAGATTTACTGTTATGCAAACTACTGCATTATTGTAATAGTTGTATAAATAATGTCAACTCACTTGTGACTGCGCATGAGACTGGCCAGGTGGACACGTATTGGACGATGATGTCATTTATTTACTCTTGAACACTGCCAAAGGATCAAACATTTCTGCTACTTTGAGCTCAGTTTCGAGGTACTTTTCATCTTAAAACCAATCAAAATCATATCTATTTCTGTAATGTATCTTCCAGTCTATCAAATGAGACCAAAAAACGAGAATACAACCATAAAAACCGTATGAAAATACTGCTAAGGGGCAGCTAATTGCTGAGAAGTGAACTCCATTATTTATGGTCTGATTTCTTTCATTTTTGGTGCATGTTAAGAAGCATCTTTCCATCATACATTGCCCAAGTTTCAATAAGATAGTCCAACAACTGGACCAACACCATATCCCCTTTTAAATTCAGGCATAATTACAGATAATACCACAGACCCACTACCTACTTTCCTCATAACAACTCTTGGTAAAATACCCCAAGACACTACTAAAGTCACCTTCAGACTTCACAATGAGGCAGCCATTAATAACTTCACAACAGCAGTAACAAACATTGACTGGCACACTGAGCTAGAAATCTATACAGATATTGACGAATGTTTTAATAATTTTCTAAAAAAGACCCAATAACTTTATAACAAGCATCTGCCCTAAAAAAACTAACAGATGTCAGCTAGAGGGACTGAACAGTCATGGCTAACTCCCAGCATTCTCAATCTTAAATACAAACACCGATATGAAAAAACAGTTACAGAATGGGTCCACATAAACCAGAGGACCAATCAAACGTTCTCGTCAATCCTAACAGCTGATAAGAAGGGCAAAAAAATTAGTATTATGTGAAACGATTATTCAATTACGAGGTGTATAAAAAAGACTGGAAGACCCTATCAGAAATTCTGGGAAAAAAAAAGATATCACGACATAGCGAAATAAAATTTAAACAAAATCAGATGAACCCCAACTACACCAACAGAAACAGCAAACACTCAATGATTTCTTCTCCCTATAGGTCAAAACCTTGCCAATAATATCCAACCCTCAGATACCCCACAAATGACTACCTCACTGGCAACTACCCGAACACATTGTTCCTAGCTCCGACTAACCCATACGAAGTCTCCCTTATTATCAACGCACTGAAAAACAAGGCAGGAGATTTAAATACCTTACCCCCCTTTATATACAAAAAAGCGTCACAAGTACTATCACCAATCATTGCAACACTCTTTAACAAATCCATTGAATCCTCCCCTTCCCTACAGTTCTCAAAATAGCAAGGTCACCCTGATCCAAAAAGGAGGAGACCAAACAGAGTTGAATAACTATAGGCCAATTTTCCAATTTACACCCTCTCTCAAAAATCTTCGAAAAATTAATTCATAAACGAATCTACTCTACCTCATCTCCCATAACTTTCTCAACCCTCCCAATTTGGATTCAGGCCAATAAAAATACTAATGATGTATTATACACATGCTAGAACATATTACATGCAATAGAGAAAAAAGAAGTCTATGGGGATCTTCATTGACTTCGTAAAGCTTTTGATACAGTTGACATGACTTGCTCCACGTAAAATTGTCACACTATGGTATTGAGGGCACTCCCTCAACTACCTCAAGTCTTACCTCAGCAACAGAAGCCAATATGTGTACGCAAATGGGGCAAGCTCTTCCGCACAACCAATTACAGTTGGTGTCCACAGGGAAGTGTCCTTGGCCATCTTCTCTTTCTCCTTTATACATAAATGACCTCCCAAAAATGCTTCGCAATTACTAAAACCCCACACTTTTTGCAGTGACACCCAAATACGTCTTCTCTCACCCGAGCCCAGTCATGCTAGCCAATACTGTAAACACCGAACTACAGAAATATCTACCTGGATGGGGGAACTAACAAACTTACACTAAACATTGACAAAACCTACTTCATTCAGTTTGGTAGCAGAGCTACAGATGTACCTCTTAACATAACGATAAAACGGATCCCCTATCACAAAGCTAACAGAGGGAAAATTCTTAGGAATCCCTCGATAATAGACTCAAATTTCATACACATATACAACCAAATTTCTAAAAAAAATTTCCAAGATTTGTGGGCATACTATCGAAGATTACGGTACTATGTTCCAAGTCACCCCTCCTGGCCCTTTATCACTCTTTATTTACCCCTATCTCACTTATGGAATTTGTGCATGGGGCTCAACAAAACTAACCTCTCAGACCACAAATTTACCCAACAAAAGGCTGCATTTTAGAATGATAACAAATTCTCATACAGGCAGCACACTCCACCAATATTCAAAACACTCAACCTACTCACCATAAAAAAACATCCATATTATTATTGCACTTATTACATACATAGAACACTTAACTTGATATTAACCCCCCCCTAAAACATCTCCTTGCCAACCTCAACAGAACACATGACCATAATACAAGGCCAGATCACTCTTTGATGTTCCTCGTGTCCATCTCACGCTATGAAAAAAACTAAAATGCACATAAAAGGCCCTAAAAATCTGAAATTCATTACCTTTAAATATAAAAGAAACACTACCGTTTATAAATTCAAATCTCTTCTCAAAGTTCCTTACCTCACTCAAAACCAAATAATACTGAATAACTAAACCCATATAAATTGTATTTTCCTAATGTTACTCACAATTATATCACACAAATTTTAAAACCCTAACTTTGTTATTTTTTTAAATACACTCCCTAACAGAATACTCCATTCTATGCATGCAAGCATAGGACCTATCTTTGTAATACTCATTTGTATTTTATAGTTATCTGTTTACAATAATGTATTATCACTGATTTCATCATTGCTTAGTTAATCTTAAGTTAATTTTAAGCCAGCCCGTAATGCTATGCATATAAGTGGCTTTGGCATGCTGCTCTTACCTGTATTTTTTGTACCTCTGTTTGTATGCTAAATTTCTAAATAAATAAATAAATAAATAAAAAAACAAACAAATGAGATCCAATTCAGTATATCAAGAGCAAGAGCCCCTCACCAGTGTCAAGGAAACTCCATTGAGGCCCGCTCGCTTATGGAAATTTCGCTCACACATGAAAGCAAAAAAAAAATCAACCAATCGACTGTTCGTATTTGAAAAACTCGCAAGTGGAGGTTCCACTGTACTGAAGTATTTTGTTGTGCCAGGAATTCCACTGGAATGGATTAATTCCATTTCACTTAATTTAAACGAGGAAAATTGACTCAACAAATGAGTAAATCGAGATGTGAGCAAGGTCACGGAATGTATTAAATTTGTAAGTAGAGGTTCCACTGTAATACAATTTAGCACAATTTAAAACAATAAAAGTGAAACAATTTTAAGTTTGAAGTAGTGAATAAATAGTTGAGCAGTCATCAAGCACAATATACAATAATGAAATTGAAAAAAATTTAAGTTTGAAGTAAATGATCAAATAGTTGAGCAATCATAAATTATTTAGGAGTTTTTTGAGTAACTGGTAGGTGTTAAGTAAAGTGTTTGTATGGTTAATTTTGGGTGATGAGGTGATTTCTAAGTAGAATCTTAAATTGATTTACAGGCAGGGGCCCTTTAGTATGTTCAGGCAATGCATTCCAGATCTTCAGGCCCTTTATGTGCATAGCATTTTTGCATAGAGATGGACATGAGGGATATCAAAGAGTGATTTGTGCCTTTTCACTCTCTGTATCTGGTATCCTGGGCATGCTTTCGGTCACAAACTCCTCAAAACCATGAAATTCATCTTCACTGACACTTCCATCTTTGTTAGAACTATCACTTGGGAAGAGAAGAGTCCTAAATTCGCCAGGGAGTGAGATAATTCTTACCACAAGGCATGGTAAACAAGGACTACTGAAATGGCGTTCCCACAGTGCAGTGCGGGTGCCCTAATTTTTTTTTATACTGCGCACACTGACAACGCAGACCCATTCTCTTACATGTAGGTCTACCAGCTTTCTCCTGCTATATCTGAAGCCGCTAGAGTTTTGGCGCAGTACTATGGCACCAACACTGGCTCGTAAGCCTTAGTACAGCAGGGTTAATTAAAGGTTTAAGGTGATTTGCTGTGGTTGAGCCCCATGCACAAATACCATAGGTGAGGTAAGAACATAAGAAAGAAGGAATATTGCAACAGGCCTACTGACCCATACGAAGCAGGTAAGGGTAAATGAGAGTGGTAAAGGGCAAGAAGAACCATTTGGGGTACATAGTACCGTAT